CTGTTAATATCAATATGCTCATCAACAGGGCTGGTTCCCCAGCAACTTCTAGCTGGGAGGCTGCCCAGAACAGCCACCGAGCACAGCCCCTCAAGAGAGCTGGTTTGAAAACACACAGGTCTTGAATAAGCCCACTCGGACTCCACCTCCGTCCTGCTGTTTTGTTTGGTATTTAACACTGACACCAGGGGGCCAGGCTTTTCCTCTGATGGACAGTAAACAGAAAATGCCCAGGAGACTGCAGCAGCCAGAGGCCACAGCTGACACAGAGGGGCCATGCAGCACCTGGGTTAGGGGCTGGACACCAGGGCAGGAGTCGGGGTAGAAGCCAAGGGAGGAGGGGAGAAGGGCAAGCTCCTAGCCAGTGGCTTCTAGCACTTGCCATCAGCTCGCTCCTACCTGCTCAGGAAATAAACGAGCAGCCGAGCTCCTAAGATGCAGCTTTCCCTAACCTCTCCACCCCCATGTGACTTTGATAGTCATTTGTACTTGATTTCATCTGGATAAATTCGAGGTGGAGGAGTTGGGAAGGAAGCAGAGCAGGCAGAGGGGCCTTGGCAACCTCCAAGGAGTGGGGAGCGGGGCACAGCGTAGTAGCTGCCAGAACTTGGCTGTAATCCAAGCAGAGCTGGGTTCAAATCCCAGCTCGGGGTTTATTCTGTTTAGCTGCAAATTCACCATTTACAAAATGTGGGTAAAGGTGTCCTTTTCCTTTCTAGGAAAGCTATCATGATGAACTGAAATGAGGCCACAAAGTGATCATCAGGTAGGGGACATTCACTAAATGCTGCTTCCCCTCTGTCTGTACTTCCAGGGGCTGCTCCCGGTACTTCTAGGGGTGTGCCACCCTTTTCTTGTGGCAGAGCTGAGCAAGAACACGGTGCATCCAGCTCAAAAGGGCTATCAGTGATAAGCAAATGAAATGGAATAAACCTGAACACAGAAAGCCAAGGAGCATTTTCTGATCTGTGCTCTCCCTCAAAGGAATCTACTGAAATCATGAAGGGGGAAAATAAAAAGTCATTCTTGCAATGTGCATAATCTGATGGAAGGAAAGGCTTTCAGTACCAGGATCGCAAGGCATTCTTCTTGGATTCTGAGCAGCCTGGATGGRTTGCAGATAAGCCTCCCCTCCTGAGCCGAGCCACAGAACCTTCTGAGACTCATCCCCAACCTTAGGCTATAGAAGCCCGAAATCATGCTTTCTATTCACTCCAGATATCTCCCAGGCTCCTCAACCCCCCCCCCCCCAGCTAAGCCTTCTGAAATCACAGGAACCATCTGCTTTGGGCATAGAAATGAGATATTATAAAAAGTTGCCACACAAAGGTCATTTCTGGAGGACAAAGGGGGGGGGAACAAAGGCTTTCATAAAGGCTTTCAGAGCTACGGCACACAGAGGCTGCGTCCCCTTGGCTGGTGGAGGGCCGCTCCCTGCTCCCCGACTGCAGATGCAGCCAGCTCGGGAGGTTTTGACTTGCAYGTTATGCAGCGTGAGCAGCCTAATACTGCATTCCTCTTCCTAAGCCGCCGCCAGCTCGCCTGCTTCACCCTGAACTTGGAATTGCTGAAGGTTCTGAGCTCATTATGGCTCTGTCCTCACAGCCTAGTTAAAGCAAAGCATTGAGATAATTGCATGAACGATCCAGTAAGGGGGGACAAAACCACCTTGTGTTGAAAAAGGTGGTTGGGAAGGACGGGTCCAAATGACTGTCAGGCGCCTCAGCTTCTCAGCTGTCCAGAGAGGGAATGTTGTGTGTGAGTACGAATTCCCTCCCCAGCACTACAATGTAYACAGGATGGCTCCCTGGGGGAAGAGGCCCTGTCCAGTCTCCCTGGAACAAAACCAATCCAGAGCCTTCTCCTAAGCAAGGGGAGGACACGCCCCTCTCGCTGATCTGGAAGTTGTCCATGGGATGCTGGAAGCTCCAGGGTCCTCAGGCAGCAGAGAAATTCTGCCATTTAGAGTTCTCTAATCCGGCTGAGCAGAAATTTCCAGATTTAAATTGAGCTCACTCAGGCATGATGAATGGTCTCAGACAGTCTTGGGTTTGCTCCAGCTCCCTTCACGGGCGGTCAAGTCCTTATTTGACTCCACARTGTACACCCTCACAACTTCAGGACCGAATATGGCTGCCAGTCGGGTGTCCACCCACAGAAAGGTAAATGGCCAACTCCCCTCCGGAGAGTCCCCTGTCATTAACAGGTAATAAAAACATGGCCAAGTAGTATTTTTAAATGGCAAGGAGGTTGTTCAAAATCCTTGAAAATCCTGGCTTTGAAGTCACTCAGACCTGAGCCACCCACTGGTTCCCAGGTGTGAGAACTTCAGCAAGTTACTCAACATTGCTACACCTCAGATTCCCCAGGTGTCATGAGCCGCATGATAGTAAGAATTAACAGAGGCTGTAATATTCAGAGAGCATTAGGCTCTCTGTCTCCAAAAAAAAAAAAAAGGAACAAAAGGCAGCATTTACCGCTGCTAAAAGGATGCAATGTGACACCAAAAGAAATCCAAAGATGGACCAGAGCAGTCTCTCCCCCAGGTGGGCTTGGCATGTCCACATCACCCTACCAGGTAGTCTGGAGCCAGCCTGACATGTTGATAATCCTGACTCCTGGTCCAGTGCTCTCCACACCTTCCTCTGCCAGTGGAGGATTAGAGGTGGCCGAATATGGTTCTGAAGAAGAGTTCTGTCCCATCTCCTGTTGCACTGATTGACAATCACTTGCTTGGCAGAGAGTCCCACAACCCAGGTGTCACCTGCCCTACTTACAKAAGTTTGGGGGAAGCAATTCTTCCCCATGCAGAGCAGATGCATTCATGACAGTTCTATTTGTTTCTGTCAAAGTCCCTAAGAAAGGCTGCAAGCAGGACAGGCGGGAGAGGATGCCCCCAYGTAACCCAGCAGCTGACTCGGGGAGTCAGTTTTCTCACCATSTTTCATGGAACCCTAGGTACATGTGTGTGGGGGGGGTGCAGGTGTGGGTGGACAGACACAGGGACTCTGAGCACCTCATTCACTCAGAGCAGTGCCAGCTCTGACCTACAGAGCTAGTGGTGGAGAACAGGACTAATTATGTTGGGCTTCTGTTTACGATTTACTGGGAAACAAGGATTTGCTTCCAAAAGGAAACAAAGAGCTCAAGATTCACTTTTCCCAGAGTTTCTGAGAACACAGAACCTTGACTTCATCTTTGAAAATATTAGGGACAGACGCAGCTATCTCCTACCTTCTGATCCATTTAGACACACATTGGTCACTTGCATCCAGAACCCCAGACCAGGTGGCAATAAAATAAAAAGCAAAATAGAGGAGGTGACCCTGATCCTTTGAAAATTTGGAAGGTAGAACAGACACCCCAACAGCAGGAGAAGAGGCTAACAAATGCTAACTAATGCATCCACTCCAGTCCTGGGACTACATTATTTTGTAATGCTTTTTCCCTTTTATTTATCTGCCCCTGCCTCCAAAAAGGCGAAAATTACCTCTCAGCAAACATTTGTTAACAATCACAATATATGCCAGACATGGGAAAGACACAGTCTTGTGGGAGTCAAGAACAGTGCTTCCAGCATGGGGTAATTAATCTTCTCTGGGGCATGGCCAGAAAGATACCATAAATGAAGTGAAATTTACGATTCATTTTGCAAGAATAGCAGCTCCCCAATGTCAATTTCCTGGGGTCCAGAGCAGCATCAGACGGGAGCATAGGCAGGTGTGTGTGAAGAAACACTAGACATCCTGTTGTTCATCTCTGGGGCCTCCTGGAAGGAAGAGTTTGGAGCAGGGCGCTGGAGGAGGAGCATGAACTGGCTCTGGAGAGAAGGGAGAGTGTCCAGGTTGGGACCAGGCCAGCAGCAAAGGCAATTAAGTGAAACCAGCAGGGCTTGGCATAAGGCTGCCCATAAAGGAGAGGTGAGGGAACGCCAGTTAAGCTCGAGTAGAGCAAAAGGCAGGAAAAGAAAGAGTTGGGGAAGACGAGGAAAACAGCTGGGGGCTGGAATACTTGAATCTCATACAACTCTCAGCTTTAGCCAATAATAAGCCATCAGAAATGTGATCATAGAGGAGGACCCATCCTCAATCCCACTCAAAGAGTCCAGGGCCTCTTATCCCCTGGCAGGGGATCTGGAGGAACTGGCAAGAGTAGAAACCACCTCGGTTGGGAAGGAGGGCGGCCAGAGCCTGGCTATGAACGCGTCTCCCAGCTGTGAGCACATCTGGGGCTTCTGAAAATGTGACATGAACACTCTGACCCCCACTCATTCTTATGCGTTCATCGACAGGTAGAAGCACAAACATGCACATGGGGAAAGGAGTGACAACAGAGAAGACAAGAGAAGAAAAAAAGAAGAGGTGAGGAGACTCCACATATTACAGAGTCCCTAAGGCGGGGCAGGGTGTCCTGGGTTGGGCAAAAGCAGTGGCTGGAGACGCGGCTTCCCTGCCCTCCTCCTGGGGAACCCTTGCCTTGGCTTCCTGCGCTCTAACAATGTGAATGAACCCTGGGAGAGGAAGAGAGCGCGCGAGGGCGGGGAAGGCAGAGGGGCACCGGGACTGGCGGAGGGGAGGGAAAAGCCGGGCTGGGGGAAACCGAGCGCACMGGAGCGCCAAACCGGGCGGGGCCGGGACGCGAGGGGCGGCGCCGAGGGGCGCGAGGCGCGGGCCTGGAGAGCGGCGGCGGGCGGAGGCGCGGAGGGCGCGGGGCGGAGGCGCGGGCCGAGCGGGGAGGGCGGGCCGAGAGGGAGGAGCCCCCGTCCGCCGCYGCCGCCAGCCCGCCCGGCGGCCCGCGCAGCCCGCACTCGCCGCGGCGCCTCGGAGTTTGAGCCCCGCGCGGCCGGAGCGCAGGCACGCCCGGGGCGCGGGGTCGGAGCGTGCAGCGCGGCGCCGCCCCCCGGCCCTCGGCCCCCAAGCCCGGGCGCCCCCAGAGCGACGCGCGGAGGGAGGAGGGCGGGCGGGCGCGGCGGGCCGGGCCGGCGGGCGGCGGACTATGAGGCGCCCACCATGGTGCGATGCGACCGCGGGCTGCAGATGCTGCTGACCACGGCCGGAGCCTTCGCCGCCTTCTCACTCATGGCCATCGCCATCGGCACCGACTATTGGCTCTACTCCAGCGCGCACATCTGCAACGGCACCAACCTGACCATGGACGACGGGCCCCCGCCCCGCCGCGCCCGCGGCGACCTCACCCATTCGGGACTGTGGCGGGTGTGTTGCATCGAAGGTAAGGACCCCTCCCCCCAGTGCGCACACACCTACACTGCYTGGGGCACGGGCCGAGGGAGAGGGTGGGCGCGGCGCTTGCTTGCTCCGCGCGAGACACAAAGGAACCAGAGCGGGTGGGTGGGTCCCCTCGCGGCCAGCTGTGTACCAGCTYAGGTCCTTCCCGGTTGGGGACCTCCCCAACACACCGATCCCACAAACTCTCCACTCGCACGCGCACACCCCCTCGCACACAGACACAATGAAACACACCGAAACTCACGCGCGCGCGCGCGCGCGCGCAGCCCAAGACCCGAGCGATCCCCGGGGGCAGCGCCGGCGCCCCCGGGGGAGGTGGAGGCTGGCGTGGGGGCGGGAGGAGGCTGGGGTTGGGGGGAGCGGACGCAGGAGGAGGGGGATAGGTTGCTTGGCAACCGGTGTCTGTGCGATTGCTATGGGAACTGGCCATCCTGGGGCGGGGCCGGCCGGGGGCGGGGAGCGCTGGGGCCGCCCGGCTTTCGCTCTTGGCCCCCGCGGAGGGGGGGGGTGGGGTGGGGGCTGGGCTCTAAGCGGGTCTTGGGGAGCCGGATTGACCCTGGCTGACGCCCGCTTCCTCTTACACGAGGCCACCTGCTCGTCCCTCCCTGCGCGGTGGGAGGTGGGGCGAGCCGACACMGAGTCTCCCTCAACTGAGGCAGCGAGCCCTGGTGGCGGCCCCTAGGCAGAGAGACTGCGGGAGACCTCCGTAGGAGGGACACTGGCGTGCGCAGGGCCATCCGTGGACCTGGGAGGGGCGTGGTCGCCTGGTTGAGGCGGGGCGCTGCGACCCCCAAATGCTCCACACAGTGGAATAATAGGTGTGGTAAGGTTGGAACGCATCCGGGGTCCGGGATTGGGTGCTCCCGGAACTGTGCGGACAGTTGCCTCCAGGGAGGGGCCAACTGGATACCTCGGATGCAGGAGGGCTCTGCTTCAGCGCCTACCGGGCATCCTTAAACCCAATTGCGGAACTTGAACTAACAGGTGGCCGTGGAGGGGCTGTCTGGTCCAGCCAGGTTGTGGACAGGTCGGCCACTTCGTCTTGGCTCTCAGATTGGAGATGGGATGGGGGAGTTGGTGGAGCATTGCTTTGGTTTTTCAAAGAAAAATTGGACAGTTTCTTTTTTTGTCACCTTATCCCGTGTGTTCAGTCCTCCCCTCGGGTTTTGTGGAAGTTCTGCCATCCTCTTCACCGTCCTTCCTGCAGCTACAACCCCTGCCACTAGTTCAGTGTGGGGATCTGGCCGAGGTTGGCAGATAGCATTTTCCCGGCTGCATTTGGAGTCATCTGAAAGGAGGCTCTGTAAAGCTGTCGCTGCTTGGAGAAGTGGAACTTGCCCCTTTTGTCCCCTCCAGACCATGCCTGTTCTCATCTGGAATCCTGCCCACCTCTGCCCCCCACATCTAAAAACGGGGCTTCTCTACTTATTGCAGTTTGAAGCTTAATGCCAGGGCTACGTGGAGGCTTCAGGTAGCAGAAATGTGCCGTTAGCAGTTCAGAAACAGCCACACAAAGGAACCGGTGGGCCCACGATTACACCCTCCTCTTTTTTTTTTTTTTTTCAAAAAAACATCATTTTGGGTGTGCAGTTGTTCAGATCACGAACACCCACTCCTCTCATCTGGAGAATGTACCCACGTCACTACCTGCCACAGCACCTGAGTTAGAGAGCAGGGGCTGCAGTGCCCCCGTGTTCTATCTGGTAGGCTCCACTGGGTGCAATCTGCGTGGTACAGTAAGTCATGTGGCCTGTCGCCCCCTCCCAAGGAATGGGTGGACTTAGGGCCTTCTAGTTTCCCAGCGGAAATCGGAACTAACCCTGGCCCGCCTGGCCTGCACTGGGACTCCAATGCCTCCTTTATTAATTCCTCATCCTAATTAGGATTGATGCTGCACTTAGCATCTTGCCAGCTGCCTCGAGCCGTTTGCACTCGCTGTTCATCAAGACAGCCCTGAGCTGATCTGGGCAGCTGGCTCCACTGGCAGAGGGAGCCATCTGGGGGACTTCATGGGAAGAACTGGGCTGCCTCTGTCATTCCCCAAAGCTCGGGGCTCTGAGGACCAATCAGGCTATAAAGCCTAGGGCCAGAACATCCTCCTGGGACCCAGGGCTGGGAGAGCTGTTTCAGGACTCCTTGATGTGGCTCGAATCATCATGACAGTCCCGTAAGTGGGTGGGAGCTGCCAGCTTATCTCATGAAAACACATCGTGGAAGCCGACAGCTCCCAGAGCCACGGACACCTCCTATGATGCCTGCCAGCAAGTGGCCAGGGCTGAAACATGGACAGCACATTAACCCCAGGCCACTTGCTGGGGGCTTAGAGGGAGGTAACTCTGTATTAGTTTTTGTGTGAGAAAAGCATTAATTCCACCTGTTCTGTAGCAGAGTATCCCCAAAGCGTTACATCCAAACCAAAAAGGTGGTAGTGGGGGATCAAGCCTCTGAGCTGAAACTGGAGAAATACTGCAGCAAGCAGCTAATGAAGCTCTGGGTGCAGCTGCGGAACTCTGATGGGTTTGCTGGCAACTCTCAGAACAGCCAGTTCAGTTTCCTGGTTGTTTCTCCTAAACGGTGTTGCCGGATTAGGAGAGCCCAGCCCTCTGTGGGCTCAAGGTGTCCACGCAATCTGGCAAGGATAATTGCTACGCCTAGCGTCACCAGGGCTGCCCTTGTCCCAGCCTCACTCTGCCYCCAAAGCAGCATTTCCTCCCAGGGTGCCTTTCTGATGGACCCACGTCACTGAGAATACTCGGTGTGCAGAGCTCATGCATTGTCCCACCAAACACGTGCACAACAGCCCAGAGAAAACGGGTTGCTGTCTTTACCCCCACCTACACACCAGGGAACAAGGCCCAGGGAGGTTCCAGGACTTGTCCAGAGGCAGCCAGGCCAGATTTGAGCCTCTGTCTCACTACAAAGCTCTTCCTACCATGTCATCCTGCCCTTTCACAAACAGCTTCTGGGTTGCCATTAAAAATAGAACTAAGTACTTGACTACCCAGTGGAGCCCAGCTCTGAGCCCAGCAAGAGGCGTTTGGAAGCAACAAGGTCCAACTGATACACAAGTTGCATAATTCAATCTTCCCTTCCCTACCTTCTCACCCCCTGCCCTCTCTGTCCTCTCTCTCAGTCTTTTGGTGTCTTTGTCGCTCTCCCTCTGTCTCTCTTTCTCCTGTGTTCTGAACTAGCCTGTCCCCACCATATTCAGTCATCCTATCACACTCTCCTTGAGACCCTTACCTCATTCTTTCTATCTTTGCTGACATTCAGCCAAGGCCAGGGACATAGGAAAGGAGACTGGATCTTCTTTCAATCAAAGACAACATCAGCCAACATTTATTCACCCTCAAATATTTTTGGAATTTATTCACCTCAAATATTTTGGAATGTCCCTGCTACATAACTGGACCCTGGAGGTCCCTTGTCACATCTGTCTTCTGTTAGTTCTTGCTCTCTCTCTCCTCCTCTGTTCTTTACTTCTTTCTTCTTTATGAGGGAATACCAACTCTTTCTCACTGGAGTTAGCTGATTTAGTGAGGAGCTGGGGGTCTTGGTGGAACCCAGACTGAGGACTGGCTTAATGGTTCTATCACAGAGCTGGCTCTGGAGAAGAGGGCTTCAGAAAGGCTCAATAGGAAAACCAGCAGGGCTTGAAAATAAACCTTCTGTGTCGGCCTCCCCAGACATCCCGACACTGAGAACTTGTAGAGCATAGTCACATAACTACAGGGAGGTGCCTCAGGTGGCTAGACCCSGGTGTCACAGGTGAGGGGGGGCAAGAGACAAACCTGAGTGGTGAAGTATGGGGGAGAGCCTGGTGGGCTCAGTCTCCTCATCTGAAAATGGAGTTTGGTGTATCTGGAACATTCCTCCCACCTCTGACTTCCTGCCACACCAGGCCCAGAGAGCTGCACCCCTAGCTTTCAGGTCAAGCCTCGTTCCATGTGGGTCTCTCCAAGGGCTGGTGCAAGGGGGCGCCTCTTCAGCTGAGAAGTCTGGGGGAGTGCTTGCTTCTCACACTCTTCTGCAACACCTCCGTGGGACACAAGGCACCCAGCTGCCAGGCCGGCTTCCATGCGTTCATTCATTCATCCACTCGTTCAGCACATGCTCACGGAGCACCTGCTGTGCGTCAGTGCCCGGGTCATGACAGAGGACAGCATTGACGGTGCAGCTGATTTGTGTTCTGGTGAGAGCGGAGCAGAGGTGTTCCTCGGAGGCTGGGGAGGGCTGAGGTCTGTTGAAGCCAAAAGAGGGAGGGGCCAGCTGCAGAGGCTCTGAAGCCCAGGTCAGGCACCTGCCGGTATTTCACCAGGGGCCACTGCTACTGGAGGGCTGGGGCCAGGGAGGAGAGGGATCCAGCTGCGTGGGGAGAGGGGAGACTCCAGAAGGCAGGGGAACATCAAGAGCCCGTCTGGACATTGTGGCAGGTGACCAGAATAGACACCTGGGGCCAATGGCAGCAGCAGAGATGGGTGACGTGGAGGGCGGGTAGGGAGAAGAGGTGACGACCCAGATCTGGGGCTCCCACGGCTGGCTGGCTGGGAGCACCACATTCAAAAGGTGAAGGTGAAAGAGTAGCTGTAGAGAAGAAAATTGAGGGCATGCCCAGGGGCTCGCTCCCAGAGTTTGACAGTACCACCCTGCACCCCCACAGCCAAAGGTAGTGCCAGAAAGTTCCATCAGGCATAACTCAGGAGCCCCATGATAATCCTCAACAGCCCCAAGAATTCTTCATCAGCCGCCCCTGTCCGCAGGGCGGGCTCTCTCAACCTAAGCACTGCTCTCTCTGGGGCCTCCCCGTTCTTTCCTAGGGAAGGGGGCTGTCCTGTAGGTTGTAAGAGCACCCAGGACTCTCTCCAGCTACAACCACCAAACAGGTTTTCTGATGTTGCTGCACTGCCCCTGAGTGACAAAGCTGTTCCCGTGGAGACCACTGGTCTAAGGGAAGCATTGGGTGGGCAGAGGCAGGGGCAGAGG